ATGTTGGGTTGCAAAACAGGCAAATCTCACTTCTACTGCCCTGAGTGACCTCTTATTGGATGAGGAAATTACCAGGCAAGCCACCATTCCGAATAGGGCAGCCACAGACTATCTGCGCCTTCTGCACAACCATTGCTGTGAAGAATTTGAAGATCTCTGCTGCCTCAACCTGTCATCAAAAGCAGAGAACGTCCATGCCACAATCGACAAGATGAAAACCATGGTGAGCGACATCAAGAGAGAAACTGACGACTGGCTGAGTGGACTGTTCAAGGGCTGGGGACTCTCGGGCTGGTTAGGATCTATTCTGAAAACTGTGTTTTTAGTACTGTTTATATTAGTTCTTGTTGTAGTTGTTAGCATTATTTTTGGACTAATCAAACACATGCTTCTCAAGTTAATTTTAAGCTCATCTTCCCCTCCTGAAGTTTACCATTTGGAAGCCCTTAGTGCTCCAATGGATGACATGGAAGCCTCAGCGGAAAACACTGACCGTCCTGTAGAGGAGGAACCAATTCACCAACCACAGTTTGGCAAGCACTCTGCATCACAAACCCAGTCCTCTTCTTTTTAAACAAAACTAGGGGGAGATGTTGCAGTGTGTTGCAATTTCCTGTTTTAGACTTCCCAGTCCCCCAGGTGTGCCAACCTCTCCTTTCCCCTCCCCCTTGCTCCCTTGCTAGGTGCTGTCCGTCAAGCTCTACATTCCAGCAAGGGCATCATGTGATTGGCAGAAGTTCAAAAGATGCTTCTCAGTCCTGGGGTCATTGGCCTGTCTATGTGTCATTGTCCCCTGAGACCCTCCCCCTCCCACCTGGTTGGTGGCTCACCTATCCTTTCCCTCCCCCCTCCCTGTGGGCTTAAAAGGACATTGAGGCCATGCGGTCGGTTATTCTGTGGAGCTGTTACAAGATTCAGAGATCTGTGACCCTGGAATAAAACTCTGGATTAAACCCTCCGCAGAATCCATCTCCTTTTCCTCTTCACCTAGCCTAAGGACTTTCACCAGAGGTAAAACTGAGTTCTTATTAGCCTGGACTTGTTCCAAGTGCCTAGCTGCAACATCCAGCCAGCCAGAGGCATCTCTGTGGTGAAATACCACAGCTGCCACCTCTGTCCAAGCAGCAGGGGCCAGACGAGCCCAGGCACGTTCCATCCGGTAATATTGGGATCTAATTCGAATAACTATGTCCTCTTTAAATTTAACATGGTATTCTCTAATTGTCCTCCAGTGCTCTGGTTTGTGTCATGGTTATCTTATCACTTGGACAGGTCAGTCGGTGCATGGCCTTACACTGTTCGTCTAAGTTACAAAAAGCCCTTTTCACATCTTATGTTTTACTAAGGTCTATAGTACAATACATTCATCACCATACTGTTTCTATAAGAGATACATAGATATTATATTCATTACACTACTATTTCTATGAGCAATACAGGGCATACTTAAGCTGATTATGATATATTAACAAGCAGCTAGAAAGAATTATGATTTTTACTATACTAAATACTTATAATCAATAACAACATGCAAAAGCTAATACATAAATGTGAAAGCCAGTATTATCTGGTCATTTTTAACAATCTTAAATCCAAGTATTAACATAGCTGTAACTGCTGCCATTTCAAGGTCTGCCTTAAAGATCTGTAATGGAAACTGTTTTCCAATATGACTTCTAGTTAAAATTAAATAGAGCTCTCTAATAGTATTAAGTGATCTTAGTATTTTCTGCTACATTAATTGATTACGTTTAGTAATTTAGCTTCCTCCTACCGCCTAAATAGCAAGTGTCCAAAAACTGATTTTTTTTAAAAAGTGCACAAGCACCACCTAGAAAGTACCAAAAAAATTCAGGGGCACAAGAAGTGGCAAGCTGTCCAATTAATGTTGTTAAGAGTTAATGTATCAAAAATTCAAAGTTTAGCTCGATTTTGCTTGGATAGCAAAGACCCAAACATTTCCTAATTTCAATGAGAAAGCTGACCTTGTTTTGGAGTCATGATTTCTTGTATTGCTTGAAATGCTCCAATAAATTTGTGGTTTATTCCGATATAATTACCATGAACCCAGAAAAAAAATCCTGCTGATTCCAACAGTACAGACAGTTATTTAGATAAAACAATTGAGCATCTCATATACAAAAGGGTTGGCATAATAAAGGCACATATAGTGGGATTACACAAAAGACCCTTCCTGTTGTTAATAGTCTGAAGCATCATGAAGGAACGCTGCTACATTTTAAGATTTTTTAGTTCCCACTGTTCTATAAAAGTGCTGATGCTCCAATTTCTTTAGTGCACCAGAAATGCTGAAACAAACCTATGCAAAAATATAAAACCCCTAGAACACTATTTATGTAAATGCACCTGCAGCATGTAATGTCACAAAATAACAATCTTCAATACACTGAAAGAGTAAAGCAATGTGTATAATGCTTTTTGTTGCTGTTGTTGTTAAAAAAACGCTTGGAGGGCTTTGCTTGGTTTTAATTAAAAATAATAGCGTTTTCCTTGCACATACATTTTTTCATCCCTTCTTCCCTTCCTGTCAGATCAGCAGTCCCACTGAGCCTGAACAGCAGCAGCGGAATTATGGTAAGCAAGTACTGAGCTGTCAATCACAGACTAGGCTGAAGCAGGACTGGCCTAAACAGGCACGAGCACATCCCCTGCCAACCACTCATATACATACAATCTACATTACACCCCACTACATTTGCTCAGCAACTCTGCTCACAGTCTGGCCTGACTACCACAGAGGTAAGGAGAAAGGGGGAGGGCCATCACCCACGCCTCACCATCCGCTCTCCTCATACCACAGGGCCATGCTGCTGGCTTGCCCCATGTAGACACCCCTGTCCTGCACTTCTCTCAGGAGCGTGTGCTGACCATTACTGAAATGCGATTACAGATCGTGCTGGCCAGGGGCATGGGCCAGGAGAGATAACGGAGTGAGCGATGCAAGAGGCCGTGGGACCGTGTGTCCCAACGGCCGCCCCTGCTCACAACTCCTTGCTGGCCCAGTGGATGTGCACGGCAGGAGCTTGAATACTTCTGTCTGTCCCCAGAGGTGGGCATTCTCAAGAAAGGCAATGTGTCCTCTGCAGCCACTTCGCTCCGCCTCCCAGCACACACTAGAGAGCGGGCAAAGGAACTTCCCCCACGTCCCAGGCCCCTACAATCAGCGGCTGGCATCACCTTGGCAACAGGCTAACAAACCCCAGCAGGCCAATGACAAGGCAGGGACAGGGAGTGGTGTTCCAGACTATGGTAGGGTACAAGGCATAGAGTTAAACTCCACTCTGTGCAGCGAGTGTTCACAGTCCTGCCTGCAGCCAAGGGAAGGACAGTGGTGTCTCGGGACAACTGCTTAAGATTGTACGTGCTGCACGTGCAGCACCAGTCTTGCTTCTGGTGTTGGAATGTGTCAGATCTGTCCCTTCCCTGCCACCATTTGTTCCCTTTCCAGACAAAACCAAGCACCTATTATCGAGGTCAGCATTTGGATCTACAGGCCACATAGAAAGTCATTGCGTCTGCTTAAGTTGACAGAAGCATAGGATCTCCTTCTTACTTGCAAGGATACATCCTGCTATGAGTGACTCCTGCATGCTTGCCTGTTTCTGTCATCTGCAAGCCAGAGGTGAATGAATTTTTCGCATGAGAGAATTATTTCTAAGGCAGCAGTATAAAGAACATGTGAACTAGAAAGACATCTCATGAGCGACCCGAGCTTGCTTGCATCATGGTAACATAATTAAAATCGATAGCAACTGCTTTGTAGAAGATTTCTGCAGTAAATATCTTAAAAAATAAAAAAACAAAACAAAGACATACACACACACAAAAAACAACACCCCTCCGGCCGCCCCCAACAAAGTCAAAACAACACACCAAAACACCCAACCAAATTATGTACTCAGTTTTAACATTTTCTCGTTCTAGGAACTGAGTCATCACCACCACCTGACTGTGCAACCAATATGCGGAGAGAAGGAATACTCCCTCCCTTCTTCCCGGGACAGGCCCCAAACAGGATTGAACCGCTTCTAACAAAGGGTGAAAACTTCAGAAATAACAAGCTTAGAGTCCCTTGTACTTTCACAACAACGTAACTATGCAAACAATAGATTAGCAAATTTAAGACCCACAGTCCCACTCACAATGTAATACCCCATTTCCATACCCCAAAATAAGGGAATTTGCAGGGCACTTTCCATTTCTATAGGAGCTTAGCAGACCAGGTTTTCATTGAATGCAGGTTCCAGAACTCCTCAACTCAGAAGCGATGCTCCATTCATACAACCATGACCTCTTATTTGGCCTTTCAGACAGATTTTTACATCTGGGTCCCCCATAGAGGAGTTGAATAAAAGAAATTAAAGTAATTTACAAGTATACTAGTTTAGAACAAAGGAAGAAATGGAAAATTGCGGGTGCAGTAGTGATAGCATATCAAAGTAATCCACAGGAAATCTTTTATCTGCCAACAATGAATCAACCTCAAAAATAATTCTGCAAGTCAGACCTGTATCTGTTATGTGTCAAAACGTCTAATGGTACATCTTAATTACACTTATGATTCGATAGGATGCTACCAAGAAAATTATTTACTACATATCTGGTTTTGACTCAACAGCTATTTTCCCCATAGAGAAACAAATCACACTAATATTGCTAAAAAAAAAAAAAAAAGGAATTTTATATTACAAAGAAAGCACATATTAAAAAACAATGCAAATCCTTATGAAAAGACTGTTAAAAGGCAGGTATTTTTTAAAAGTCCTGTCTTCAGGTACTTTGAAAATGCACCTCAACATGCTTTTAAGTAAACGTTTAAATAGTCAAAAATGCAACCTAAGAATGTAACCAGCATTTCCTCATCTTTAGAAATAGTGAACACTCTGAGACTGCGTATTAAGGAGGGATAAACCAAGCAAAGATACATCTTTTTCTGGAAATATGTCTGCATGTAATGAATGAATAAGCGAAAAGCTTACCTCTTGCATGCCCGACTAGAACGTCCTTATAGTTAAAATACTCGACTTCTTCAGTGTAATTTTGTGTATAGGCAGTGTTGGATCCAGCATTTCTAGATTCGCTCCAACGTACTTTTGCATGTCCTCTTGCATGAATTTTAAGAGCTTTCACTCTAATTTCCCCAGTAACTTCTAAACTGATCCTTCCTGAGACTGTGTCCCCGCTAGAATACACGGGGATATTGCTGTTACTGAGACAGTCAAAGCTTATTGTCAAACTCTTCACCTTCCCCAGCACCATGATTTTTAACGAAGTGTATAAAAATATACTGCAAGGAAAACAAAAAAAAAGTCAAGGTCTCATACAAAACGCGACCTTCACGTTACACTGAACAACGCCTCTGCTGCGTAGAGCCTGCCCACCAGATCAGCGTGTCCCCTACGAACGCTTCATCGGAATTGCTGAGAAGACAACGACAGCCGCCCAACACTACGATATCCGTACAAAGGCAGCTGGCCCGCACGCTGCCAGGTCACTTTAAGAACAGCTTTGTGAAAAACAACCACCCCCGCGCATGCGCGAAGCGAGTCGTAGCGGCGGTTTCCTCCACCGCTTGCCTGTCTTTCCTGCCGCGTTCGGGTTTTTTTTGTGTTATCACTTCCATCTCATGCAGAGAGTCAGAGCACTCCCTGGTGGAGTCAGAGCTCTGCTACGAGTTCGCAGTATGGTATTGAAATACGTACTGAAGAACTGAGAGAAAAACGTCGGGGGGAGGGGGCGCTAGCGCTCCTTGTCCACAGGGTCATCTCAATCTCATCTCATCTCATCTGTCACGGCCTGGGGATCCTGGCTTGCTGATTGGGAGGTGTCTCGGAAGAAGCTGGCAGCTGAAATCGGGCAGCAGTCGGTGGGCACCAGGCCCTGGATTCTGGCAGTAGACGGCACGGGTTCTCCCCCTCAGCCGGGGGTTGCCTGGCTAACAGTAAAGAACGCAACGACCTTAAAAATACATCATCTGTATCAAAATAATAAATGAGAAAACACTATAGAGCCATATGCAAATTATGCCGAGGCCTGCCTATAATTTTGCCAGGATTGGTCCCTTCACGAACAAAAGCTTTGGGCAAGGTCTGTAACTGAGCAACGTGCCGAGCAATTCCCTGACACAATGGTTCTGTTCTTTACTGTTAGCCAGGCAACCCCCGGCTGAGGGGGAGAACCCGTGCCGTCTACTGCCAGAATCCAGGGCCTGGTGCCCACCGACTGCTGCCCGATTTCAGCTGCCAGCTTCTTCCGAGACACCTCCCAATCAGCAAGCCAGGATCCCCAGGCCGTGACAGATGAGATGAGATGAGATTGAGATGACCCTGTGGACAAGGAGCGCTAGCGCCCCCTCCCCCCGACGTTTTTCTCTCAGTTCTTCAGTACGTATTTCAATACCATACTGCGAACTCGTAGCAGAGCTCTGACTCCACCAGGGAGTGCTCTGACTCTCTGCATGAGATGGAAGTGATAACACAAAAAAAACCCGAACGCGGCAGGAAAGACAGGCAAGCGGTGGAGGAAACCGCCGCTACGACTCGCTTCGCGCATGCGCGGGGGTGGTTGTTTTTCACAAAGCTGTTCTTAAAGTGACCTGGCAGCGTGCGGGCCAGCTGCCTTTGTACGGATATCGTAGTGTTGGGCGGCTGTCGTTGTCTTCTCAGCAATTCCGATGAAGCGTTCGTAGGGGACACGCTGATCTGGTGGGCAGGCTCTACGCAGCAGAGGCGTTGTTCAGTGTAACGTGAAGGTCGCGTTTTGTATGAGACCTTGACTTTTTTTTTGTTTTCCTTGCAGTATATTTTTATACACTTCGTTAAAAATCATGGTGCTGGGGAAGGTGAAGAGTTTGACAATAAGCTTTGACTGTCTCAGTAACAGCAATATCCCCGTGTATTCTAGCGGGGACACAGTCTCAGGAAGGATCAGTTTAGAAGTTACTGGGGAAATTAGAGTGAAAGCTCTTAAAATTCATGCAAGAGGACATGCAAAAGTACGTTGGAGCGAATCTAGAAATGCTGGATCCAACACTGCCTATACACAAAATTACACTGAAGAAGTCGAGTATTTTAACTATAAGGACGTTCTAGTCGGGCATGCAAGAGGTAAGCTTTTCGCTTATTCATTCATTACATGCAGACATATTTCCAGAAAAAGATGTATCTTTGCTTGGTTTATCCCTCCTTAATACGCAGTCTCAGAGTGTTCACTATTTCTAAAGATGAGGAAATGCTGGTTACATTCTTAGGTTGCATTTTTGACTATTTAAACGTTTACTTAAAAGCATGTTGAGGTGCATTTTCAAAGTACCTGAAGACAGGACTTTTAAAAAATACCTGCCTTTTAACAGTCTTTTCATAAGGATTTGCATTGTTTTTTAATATGTGCTTTCTTTGTAATATAAAATTCCTTTTTTTTTTTTTTTTAGCAATATTAGTGTGATTTGTTTCTCTATGGGGAAAATAGCTGTTGAGTCAAAACCAGATATGTAGTAAATAATTTTCTTGGTAGCATCCTATCGAATCATAAGTGTAATTAAGATGTACCATTAGACGTTTTGACACATAACAGATACAGGTCTGACTTGCAGAATTATTTTTGAGGTTGATTCATTGTTGGCAGATAAAAGATTTCCTGTGGATTACTTTGATATGCTATCACTACTGCACCCGCAATTTTCCATTTCTTCCTTTGTTCTAAACTAGTATACTTGTAAATTAATTTCTTTTATTCAACTCCTCTATGGGGGACCCAGATGTAAAAATCTGTCTGAAAGGCCAAATAAGAGGTCATGGTTGTATGAATGGAGCATCGCTTCTGAGTTGAGGAGTTCTGGAACCTGCATTCAATGAAAACCTGGTCTGCTAAGCTCCTATAGAAATGGAAAGTGCCCTGCAAATTCCCTTATTTTGGGGTATGGAAATGGGGTATTACATTGTGAGTGGGACTGTGGGTCTTAAATTTGCTAATCTATTGTTTGCATAGTTACGTTGTTGTGAAAAACACATTCACACTCCTGTGAAAATTTAAAAAGTTTAATAAAGGACAATAGGAGAAAAGGATCATAGAGCAAAGGTAATTACAGCCAGGTGTATCTTGGCACTTAGCCAAGACCACACTCTTACATCTAGGGATACCCCTTATATACCTTTTCCATTACATCAGCCTGTTGCATATTCATAGATCCTATGCATATCTCTAAACTAGTTTACATTTTCCAGGAACTATTGTACAGGGCCCCTCCTTGGGTCTGTCTTTTTAGAGCATGCGTGTTTCTTGGCTATGGTTTTGTCTCCTCTTTATCACTTCCAGTTTGGGCCTTGGTCCTCACTGCCTTCAAACGGTGAGTGCTGATAGCTGGCATATCTGTAGCAGGTGTCCTCATCCTGTGTTCATTGGATTTTATCCCATCATAGCAGGCATTTTTACACAAGCATTGCTATTTCACTACTATGTCTAAACTTAATTAACAACAGAAATAAAAACGATATCTTTATAAGAAAGTTACTTTAACATCACACATATAAAATCCGTTTTAATATTTGTGAAAAGCCTATATTCTATGTTGGGACCCTGGATGCTGAGAATTTTCAACTTTCTGTGCTTAAAGGCACAGACCCACAAGAGTGCACTGCATTTGACCTGAGGCTGTGGAGAAGACTTCCAAAATTGATTGATTGCACTGGGATTACGGGTGTGTAGTTGGTTACAAGTGTGTAATATCACAGGGTGGAAAACTTAAAGTTTGGGATTTTAGAATATGGAAATATATATGAAGAAAAATTGAGGTTTTAAGGTGGAGGCAGGTTGTTCTTCTTTACCTTCTTCCTTCTTCATGGGTTTGGGTGATGTTTTTTAATTGGACAGAAAAATCTGCATTGCAGGCTTAGAGGGATCAGTTATTAGGTTAAAAGGGAAAATAATCTAGATGTCATTTCTTATTTGGATAATTTAGTCTTAAAAGACCTTGTAACAGGAGATAGCCATTTTGTTCCTTGCCAATGAAAGGCTGCAGAACTCATGGTTGTGAGACTGCTTCACTGATAAGAAATAATAAACTCCTGAGTCCAAACATGAACTACGGTCTCAAGTGCCTTCAATCCAGTCCAGAGAAACCGATAACTGGTGCCTCCGTGTAAAAGTGGCAGCTCAGTAAGAAGAAACTGTGCCAGGAACCCTTGATGAAAACCAGGACACAGGAAAATTTCTCCGCAGATGAACATCTTGGTGTTTGGACATTCGGAAAACCCGGTGGAAGGAGCCAATTCCCGTAACATTCAGGTCGCAGAACAGACCAGGCCCATGAACAGCAGACCCATTAGGGTCCGGTAAGCTGTCAAGGAGTCGGGATGGGGAGTAACCCCTCAAAAACTGAATCGGATGTCCTAAATAATCTAGAAATATTGATGAAATAGCATCTCACTCGAGTCTCAAGACAGGAACCGGAACTTTTGTCATCCTGGGTGAGGGAGGTGTGCCCAAATACCTTTTAATGTCTTATTTGACCCAAATCTGTGGGAAGATGTAAATACTAAGCTTTACCACGTGGCTATGCATAAAGGCAAAAATGCTGCGAGACTGCTTTTTGTTGGTAGAGTTGTGCATGATGTTTTACATGCGGCAAAATGCAAGAAACCCTTTGCAGAGGCTGCTTTGCAAACATCTCTGTGGCTGCAGGGCATTTCCTCGCAGGCTGGAAACCAGGGACCTGCGGCCCCCACAGGAGGAAAGACTGTCCCGTCCCCCCCCTTTTCCCCCTGAATTACAAGAGGGAGGTCTTATCCCTATAAACGCTGTCTTGGAGTCATCCCCTGGTCCGGGAGAGGTGCGCAGTGGGGGTGATGCAGCCCAGGCAAAGCCCGAAAGGGAACCAGGGGGATTTCCCAAGATGAAACTGTTGGTGGGGGAGGTGGACGAAGCAGACATGGCATTTTTTGAATTCTTTACATGTACGCGTATCTCGGAGATAGAAGCGGGAGGGGCTCGGGAAGTCACCGCTTTCTCCACCCCTCTCGACACCTTGGGAGCAGTTCCAAATAGCTGAGCCAGCCTCCGGAGCTGGGGTGGCAACCCCCCTGTTACCTGATGGTCCACCCATAGCTCCTGCCCCCGCCCAAGCCCCAAAACCGACGTCAGAAGGGTCTCTCCAGCCCCCTCGGTCAGCAGGGGCGGCCCCGAACCCAGTAGACGTCTGATTTGTCCCACCCCCTCCCGCCTTCGAGCCCCAGGCTACGGCACAAAGGGCGGAACCCAGATCG